AGCTGCTGCTGGTGCTGAGGACCCGAGCGGTGGAGCTACTGCTGGTACTGAGGACCCTGGCGCTGGTGTCTCTGCTGGCTCTGGAGACGCTGCGCGGCTGCGACCGTACTTCGTACCGCTCCTTCAGCAGGTTCTTGGTCAGGCTCCTCCTCCCTGTCCTCCTCCCTCCGTAGAGTGTCCTCCGCCTGTCCAGTCGCAGTCACAGTTACCGCCTGCCTCGCCTCTTCCTGGTCCTTCTCCTTACACAGGTCCGACAGGAGGTCTTACGGAGCGTCGTGAGCCTGATTCTCGTCCTGCGTCGCCTGTTCGTACTGCTCGCACTGGTCGTCGTGTCCCACGTGAGCGTCCTCCTCCTGTCCCTGGCACTCACTACATGACTATGCGTCCCTCCACTGCTCCTCAACGTGTCCCTCTGCCGTCTCCTCCTGCGTCCTCTCTTCCTACTCTTCCTGACCCGGAGTCTGACTCCTGTCGTGCTGCCAGTCCCACTGTCACGCGTCTCCTCGCCACTGTTGTCACTGACCCTACCTTTGAGTCCTCTGCTGCGTCTGCTCTGGTCGCTGAGTTGGTTGACTTTGCTGCCCGGTGTCGTCTAGACTACGCCGCTAGCCTTGTTGCTGAGTCTGAGTCTGTCTATCCTCCGTCCGTCGGGGGTGAGTGTGCTCTTGGCACGGACGTCTTTGAGGACAGACAGGAGGAGTTCCAGTGCTTTGCTGCTGCTTTACCCCACCTCGTGTCCATGCTAGTTGCCCCTGAGGGAGACCCGGATGCACCAGACATCCCGACCCCGCGCACTTACGCTGAGGCGATGGCGGGTCCCTACTCCTCTCAGTGGCAGACAGCCATGGACGCAGAGATGGCTTCCTGGAAGTCCACAGGCACCTACGTCGACGAGGTTCCCCCACCTGGGGCGAACATCGTCAGTGGCATGTGGATTTTCAGGGTGAAGCGGCCACCAGGTTCTCCTCCTGTCTTCAAGGCGCGCTATGTGGCTCGAGGCTTCAGTCAGCGAGAGGGAGTCGACTTCTTCCAGACCTTCTCCCCCACCCCAAAGATGACCACTCTTCGGGTGCTGCTGCACGTTGCCGCTCAGCGCGACTACGAGCTTCACTCACTTGACTTCAGCACTGCTTTCTTGCAGGGCAGCCTGCATGAGGAGATCTGGCTGCGCCGCCCTCCTGGCTTCACTGGGTCGGTTCCTCCTGGTACCCAGTGGAGGCTCCAGCGGCCGGTCTACGGTCTCCGCCAGGCACCGCGTGAGTGGCACGACACACTGAGGACGACACTTGCGGCTCTTGGGTTCGCTCCCTCTACTGCTGACCCGTCACTGTTTCTACGCACAGACACCTCGCTGCCGCCGTTCTACATCCTCGTGTACGTCGACGACTTGGTCTTTGCCACTGCTGACACCGCGGCACTCGCCCACGTGAAGTCGGAGCTGCAGAGGAGACACACGTGTACAGAACAGGGTGAACTGACAAGCTATCTTGGCTTGCGGATCACCCGGGACAGAGCACGGCGCACCATCACCTTGACTCAGTCACACATGGTGCAGCAGATCCTTCAGCGCTTCCGCTTCACGTACTCCTCGCCTCAGTCCACTCCTATGGCTACCGGTCACTCGCTCTCAGCTCTGCCTTCGGATGAGTCCGTAGAGCCGAGTGGCCCGTATCCAGAGCTTGTAGGCTGCCTCATGTACCTGATGACATGCACTCGACCTGACCTTGCATACCCTCTTAGCATCCTTGCACGCTATGTCGCTCCTGGCCGTCACAGGAAGGAGCACATGGATGCCGCTAAGAGGGTGTTGCGCTACTTGTGCAGTACGTCGGGCATGGGGCTAGTGCTTGGAGGGCGAGACCGAGTTGTACTTACTGGACACTCAGACGCTTCTTGGGCGGACGACCAGGCTACTCAGCGGTCGTCTCAGGGTTACACCTTCAGCCTTGGCTCTGGCTCAGTTTCTTGGCGTTCTACACGCTCTTCTTCTGTTCTCAGTTCCAGTTGTGAGGCTGAGATCTACGCCACAGCCATGGCGGCCCAGGAGCTACGCTGGCTCACCTACCTGCTGACCGACTTGGGAGAGCGGCCTCGTTCTCCTCCAGTGCTGTACGTCGACAACAAGGCTGCCATTGCCTTGTGTGAGGAGCACAGACTGGAGCACAGAACGAAGCACATCGCCTTGCGGTACTTCCTTGCTCGAGAGCTGCAGCAGCGCGGTCAGCTTCGTCTGCGTTACGTGGCCACTGAGGCCAACACTGCTGATGTGTTCACCAAGGCGCTTCAGCCTTGTGACCATCAGCGTTTCTGTACTCTTCTAGGCCTTGTGCCTGCTGGACCTCACTTGCTTACTTCTTGACTCTGTTTGTACTGTGATCTCTATATATATACCTGCATGTTTACACTTGCTAGGTTGTGATCACTGTATGTCTTGCTACATTATCAAACTGCATGTGAACTGGTCTTGTGACTGCTTGCTTGTGCTCGGAATTTGTGTGGTATCCTTGAGATCCACCCTGAGCCTGTTTTGCTTTGCTTTGCTTTGCTTTGACTGGTCTTGTGACCCTCTGGTTGTCTCCCACTTCGCCTATGGGGGTGTGTCAAACATTGTATGTTTATATTGTGTAGGCTATAGTGGGTCTAGCCTTAGAGGGTACACAAACTTAGGGTTTCATACTTGTACCCACCTTCCTGCTAGTTCATTCATCCTCGTTCTATTCCAGATTCTAACACATTCACCCACCTATGGTAGTGACTTTTTCGTCGGTTATCGCGTGTCTTATGAACTTATGCCATTCATACAAAGGATGTGGTACTCGTTCTGTATAACATGGGTGCTAGAAAGAACAAACCTTGATGTTTGGAGGGGAGGCACGAGAAAGCAGGCGTAGTTTTCACAAGTAGTCCAAAAAAAAATGGGACACAATATGGAACGATGCTTCAAACAGAAGTCCCCAATGGCATCAAACAGCTTCAGGCGACATGAAGACTCACCTAACTTTCAGCTCCAACAATCATTCCCCTCATTCCTACGTGAATCGCCAGTATCACTCGATACGACCGTGACAAGTTCAATCTTGTGGATCTGGTAAGATGTTGTGGACAGCATATGGTCAAGTTGTCACGATTCATCGTTAACCAATGGCTCCTCGACTACCCATGTGAGATTGAAGTTGTCAACGACAACAATTGAAGGCTCTCCATATCGAAGAGATCCTTCTCCAGTCAAGGAACCCAGCTTTCACGAGCCACGTCGGTGACGTCTTGATTGTCAACGATCTGAAATTCATCCTACTCTTTGCAACACACCTGACAGAGTGCGGACTAGAAATCCGCATCAAGTGCGAGAGAACGGAATTCGAACTATACTCTGACAACAATTACATCGGAAAGGTAGTTATGATGACGGAGTCTTTGGTATGCACTTCACTTCACAATAGATGAATAGCAACATCGATTGAACTGACCTTCTAAAGACAACAACACCTTCTTCAAACCCGACCAGAAAAGTGGACCTCGAACGCCCAGGCACGTATGGACTTTGCCACACACGTGATGTCCCAACTGCTTCAGCCTCCACACTTGGAGTCACTGGACCAGCAACCATGGAAGAGCAAGAAGAAGATAGCGGCATATGAGGACCAAAAGGCAGTGGCTCATAAAGAAGAGGAACCAGCGGCGCATGGGGTGTAGGGATTGCGCATGGAGTGGAGGTACCAGTACCCAGTGGCGTGTGATGGGGTCCTATCATTTGCGGATGAGGAATGTTCACGCGACAAAGGGAGTCTAAAGAAGGAGGAAGCAACCAACCAGACCCCTATTGGGCCACTCGCGGAACCCAATGGGGCGGCCTGCCACTCTCACCGCGACCGTGGGAACCCGAATGAGAAAAAGAATCAAAAGGGATGACAATTATTATTGAGGAAGAAGTTGTTGAATCACCTGCACAAACAAAACAATCACCACCTCTTATCGAAGGTCCCGAGCTCTTGTCTATTACAGGTTACAAGATACATTGTAACCGTATCCCGACGGAAGCGTCCCCGGCTGTCGTTTAGCCTGACGCACTACCACTGTCAAACTATGAGGTTACCTAGGAAATTTGGGTTTTGACTAGAGTAGCCATGGAGAATGTGACGAGAGGTAGCATGGTGAGAGGTGTTTCACTATAATCGAGTGGGTACAAATAGGCAAGGCAAGAGGCTAGGCAAGAGAAAAGGGTACCCTACAAGTAATTGAAACTAATAACTAACTAGTACTCAAGCTGGTGGTGCACAGAGGGAGCGTTCATCCGCGTAGTGCTGCAAAATCCTCCCCGCCACCCCCTCAACCTTCCGCCTCAGCAGTAAGCAGAGCGGTAGCTGGCAAAGGACATCTCAGGCAGGGGCTGCTCAGGTAGGGACGGCAAAAGGCAGGGGCGGCTCATGACAAGGGAAAAGGAGGCGGTGGTGACTGGCGCTGCCTATGCAACCCCACCACCCCTTCACCCAACCCCCTACCCCCCTCCCTCTCCCCCCCCCCCCCCCCCCCCCCCCCCCCCTCTCCCTGCCCCACCCCTCCAACCAGCGTGGCAGCGGGTACAGTTGCAACGCGCGGAAGTAAAAGGATGGGTCGAGGGGTCAGGGAGGCTATAGTATGGCTGCAAGCCCTTCCACCTAACAGTGTTTGTCATGTGAGGGGCGACGAAGGCCAAAATGTAGGTTGACCATTTGCAAGGGAGCTTTTGTAAATGCAGAAAGATACAACCATAGGACAATACCAAAATTTTCACCGTGCACTTATAAGCAAGCACTTCAATCCAACCTGGATAAAAAGACCTACCATTCCCACAACCACCCAACACATCAAGCAACATGCTACGAGCATGCGGTGAAATGAACTTACTGCTTAACACTAAAGCATGGCCAGCAAAGCATATAGTAGCAATACCATCCAACGTCAACACCAAAATCTGCATTCTCAATCTCATGTGAGGTAGCCAATGGCCACCATGGGCCAACTCAGCGCCCCGTGCTAGGCTTTAACTGCAGCCAGCTCTTGACGCCACTTGTCATCGAGCTAATGCCAGTGAATGAGCTCACACTAGAATTGCCACCAAAAGAAATCTGAGACTCCATCCCACTGCCTCCAAACGACACAGCAGAAGGATCCCCTGAAGAAGACGAATCATCGATGCCATCACTCGCTTCTTTCCCTGTACCCTCCCACTCCTCCTCCTTGTCAGGGCAGTGCTTCTCGATAAGCGCACTGAGGCGGTATCCCACGTCCTTCATGCTGGGCCGCCGTGTGCCGGGAGACTTAATGCAGTCCAGAGCCAGATCTGCAAAGTCCACTATGGCATCTTGCTGTCCTTGAGCTGATCCAGCTCATACGCCTCTATCATCTTCATTGCCTGGAGACGATGAGTGTCCACACACAGAGGGACGGATGATGAATGGGAGAGGCGGTGTAGAAGCAGCGTGACAATTAGGAAAGGCGGTGAACAACGGCTTGATACCAATAAAAGGGTAGAAATGTCGATTCAAGTAGGAATTAGGATAAAGATGCAAACATGAAAGATGGGCATGCTTTCTTAGACGGCCGTACCCATTTCCTGATGTGCGATTTTGCATCAATGCGGGGTGGCTTTCCAGTCAGCAATTCAAGAAGCACGATGCCAAAGCTGCAAAAAGTCATGCGATTGGACATACAGCAGAATCTTGGGAAAGGGTTTAACATATGTAGAGATTGCATTACAGCGTGAAGGCACTCAACACAGGCAGGAAAAACAGACAAAAAAAGACAGAACATGAGATCACTGTATTCTCAAATCATGAGTTCATTGTGCAAATCAAAGGAACAAGCATGCGGACCTGAAGACATCACTCTTGGCAATGATAATGTTGGTGCGGTTGTAATCTGGGTCCACATAGCCCGGAGTTCCAGCTACTCGGGTGGCGTCAGCATCACCATGTGTGATGCGCTTGAGCAGCCCAAAGTCAGCCACCTTGGCTTGCATGTCGGCAGTCACAAGGATGTTGGCTGGCTTGATGTCGCGGTGGACGATGGGTGTCTCAAATCCATGCAGGTATGCCAGGCCCTCTGCTGCTCCCTGTACTATGCGCAACCTCTGGCACAGCGTGAGCGGTCCTGGATCATGTAACACAAAGAACGAGCAGAAAGAATGCTTACGAAAGTGATTGTGTAAAGTTATGTGCAAAAAAAAAAAACAAACAAACAAACAAACAAACAAACAGTTGGGCAACCATTTGGTCATGCTTGTGCAACCATTTGATCAACTCACTCTTGGTGGAGTGGATATAGTACTCGAGGTCCCTGTTGCCCACAGACTCGTACACCAGGATCTGCTCCTGCTTGCCCGTCTCCACGTTCGGATCCAGACAGAAGCCCAGCAGGCGAACGAGATGCGCGTGGTGGAGAGACGCCATGGCTCGCACCTGCAGGGACGAACAGAATACAGTGAGCAGGATTACGAATACACACACCGGATGCATGCACACGGAGGGTGAGGAGAATAGTATACAGCACTTGCACATGGATAAGGAACAGTGCGTACTGTAAAGAGAACTCTGGTCTGCGTTTTGGAAGACAGATAAAACACGTTGTTTTCCTGTGCTAAGTGGAGGGAACGCATGGATTCAGATAGAGAGGCTGGTAACAATGAAATATATGCCTCACCTCTACTTCAAAGTCATTGGTCATGACGGTGGATCGCTTGATAGCCCACAGCTGGCCCTGAGGCGAGTAGCCTTTGTAGACAATGCCAAAGCCACCCTTGCCCAGCACATTGTCGTCCGACCAGTTGTTGGTGGCCTTCATAATCTGCTGCAGCGAGAACTGCTCACACACAACCAGCCCCTCCCACTTCTCTGCGCACACAGAAAGACAGACAAGAGGAGTGAGCAAGCAAGGGTGTAGATGAGTGGACAGAGCATGGGGACGGTGGACTGGCATCATTGTGATGTAGGATTGGTGATCAGGCAGGGGATCAAGGAAGAAGGCCAGGAAAGAGGTGTGCACAATGGGGACATGGAAAAAAAAGAGGTGCGAGCAATTGGGACACGGAATAGAAAGAGGTATGAGCAATTGGGACACGGAATAGAAAGAGGTGCGAGCAATGGGGACACGGAATAGAAAGAGGTGTGAGCATTTGGGGCATGGAATAGAAAGAGGTGTGAGCAATGGGGACACAGATAGGAACTGAGGACGGGTTGAGGGGCTCACTTGGTCCGCGGGGCCACAGCAGCCATGCAAGCACAGCAGCGAGCAAAGTGAGGCCAGCAAAGCAGCCCACAGCAATGCCCACTATGGCGCCCGTGGAGAGCGACGACACTGGCAAAGAAGTAGAGAGTAGGGGACATGGGGAGTTGTTGATGTTAGAAATGGAAGGGATTATTGAGGGCAAGAGTAGATAACCAAAGCCTCGCAATGCGATGAGCAATGTGGTATCATGGTTACATGATTATGCAATGTGGAATTGAAACAGGGAGTGAAAGCAAGGCTCACCAGTGGTGGTGGTGGAGTTGACAATGGCACAGGTAGAGCCGTTGCCCAAGTCGAGAGCAGAGTAGCCGGCATCACAGAGGCAGGTGAAGTTGGAGGTGGAACCGGGTGCAGGCGGCACACACTCCCCACGGCCGTCACACGGGCCATTGTCCGTGATGCTGCAGAACGCCTGGCAGGCTGCTTTGCTGTGCTGGATGGCGTTGGAGGAGCACTCCGCATCAGGTCTGAGCGTCAGGCAGTTGCCCGACAGACTCACCCTCGCCTGCTTGCCTGCCCCCGCCACTGAGATATCTCGCAGCCCAGTGGCTGCAACGTTATTACACTTGCCGGCAAACACATCAAAGGTATCCCCCATGCCCAGGTTGTTGGGCTCGGTGATCTCAACGGGGCAGACCTTGCAGCCGTCAGCAAAGAGCACAGCATCGCCAAAGAAGTAGTTGTTAGCCAAGTTGATGAGGGCACCGCCGTCTGCCACCATGTTCCTGAAGTCGCGGTTGACATGCCCGTACAGGCTGTTGTTGCTCACATCACTGTGGGGAGCATGGGGGCCACAGAAAGGTCACAGGATCATGTTTAAGTGTCCGATTGAAGATAGTCAAGGCGGAGATTCACTCTACAATGGGAGTGGGACTACGTGTGAAGGCATGGGCGGTATGAGTGATCGTCATGTTTGCTCGTGTACCTTCTACTTGCCCATTTTGATGAAAGTTGGGAAGAGTTTCACTATCAAAAGTTGGATACAAGATGTTATAAAGATTGGCAATGGTGATCACATCTGGAACCTAGCAAGCCTAGCAAGCAGGCAGGTCGACCTCCAGCCTAGCAAGAGGGCGACTTTCCAGCGCGGCAAGTCGACGGCGTGCCAACGCAGCTGGAAGGCGACTTGCCAACACCGCAAGTTGCCGACCTGCCAGCAGCGCACCAGCGCGACTTGCCAACGCTGCACCATGGCAGCTTGCCAACATTGCAACCGTAGGTGACTGTAAGTGCATGTGCACGCTCCTACTCCGGAGGTGCTCGTAGATGATTGAGCATGCTCTGCACCGCCACGCACATTGAGCAGGAGCCAAGTCGGCCACGGTCCAACAGTTGCGCCAGATGTGGCACGTCGACCTCGGAGTACCGGCCCGAGGTTGGCTTCGCCAAAACCTCCGGGGAGACGTCCGCGCACCCCCGCAGAAGCTCATTGCCTAAGTTACTTGATTGACTGGAAAACCCCGAGGTCGGCGCCGACCTGATGGGCAGTCGGTGCCCGCAATTTGATGCACACCCTCGTCGACCACCCAAGTCAAAGCCACCCACCGGCTTTACCAGGTCGGCATTCCCGCAAGTTGACAAACCCCCTCGTCCACACTAGCCGAAGTCGACCGCCAACCTCCCTCGTTGGCGGCTTCGCAGTGGTCTGGTGTAAGTCGACCACGTCTGTCGACTTGCCCGCCCAAGTCGGCGTCGACCACTGCACCTTCCGCGAATCCGATTGCAAATTCAGCTTCGGCCCCAAGCAAGGGCGAGGCCAAATGTCCAATCAACAGTCATGCCACTCTTTGCGGTGGCCAAATGGAGGGTGCGAGCTGCTGCATGTGCGTTAGCACTCGAGATAGGGTATGCACGGTTGGCTCACATTTGGTTGACACACTTGTCAAAGAGGCAGTCTGGGAGCTCTCCGTAGAGGTAGTTGTTGCTCATCATGCTGCCAGAAGTGTAACACACACCATGCCACACCATCAGTCATGCCCAGAAAGGGTGGCAAACACAGAGAGGTGAAGCTAGCTCCTACATTTTGTTACTTTCAATGAGTAAATATACAAGCCAGTGATACGAGGCACTAACAGAGTGATAGAGTGGCAAACAGAACGAGGTGATAGAGTGATAGTGATAGAGAACGAGGCTAGTGATAGAGTGATAGTGATAGAGAACGAGGCTAGTGATAGAGTGGCAAACAGAACGAGGTGATAGAGTGATAGTGATAGAGAAAAAGGCTAGTGATTGAGTGGCAAACAGAACGAGGTGAAGCCAGTTCCTACATTTTGCTACTTTCAAGTACCAGTAGTCTGCACCTGTCCTGGCCTGATAAAATTTTTGCTTTTTTTTTTTTTTTATTTTTTTCCGTTTGTAGATGTCAGCCACTCACACGCGCCAAAGAAAGGGCAGCGAGCACAGCCCAGTTGGCAGGGGGCCTTCAATCATGTTGTTGTCAAGCCAGCTGGTGGGGCAGGCAGAGCAGTGGCAAGAGGCAGCAGGGTGGAGTGGGGATGGCACAGGTGACGTTTGCATGTAAATACACCATAGCATTCACAGTTATGAACGTTTGCTATGGTTGTGTTGTATGAAAATGTTACAGCCAGCTTAATTTTCTTGTGCTGCTAGTACTGCTTATACGGTGTCATTATCGAGAAATGTTTAGGAGGAAAGCAGATTTAGCAGCCTCACATCTGCTCGAGCTTCTCCAGTCAGCTGATGGCATTTGGCAGACTGCCACTCAGGTGGTTGTTGGCCATGTAGCTGGCGGGCCATGGCAGGGAGACGATATGTTGCAATGAGACGTGGTGTGTGAAAGAGCAATGAGGGCCAATGCAAGAAAGCACCATGGAGCAGAGGTGGAAACGAAGAGGAGCATAAGTGGGAACTTGTGATAGGCAATTGGTAGTGGAAACTCTACACCTGTGAGAGGCTTACATGTATTTCAGACTCGTCATGTTGAAGATGGCAGAGGGGATGGTGCCGGTCAGTTGGTTGTTGTTGAGAAATCTGTAGAGGCATTGCAAGGCAAGGGGTAAATTGGTTGAAGTTTTCAGAAAGCATATATACTTAGCTAGGACACAGGCACTGCGTGCATCAAATCATAAGTTACCTACCGCTCTCCCGCGACTCGTCAGTTGACTCAACAGTTACATGACAGCCACCTCATGGAGATGGCCTATGTGCTGATGGCAGGTGTTGGTAGCAGATGCTGAGGGGTAGGTGCTGAGAGGCACATGTTGTTGCAACTCACATGGCATCGGGTGGAGATGGAATCTGGAATTGACCCTGTGAAGTTGTTGTCACTGAAATTTCTGAGGCACAACACAGGCAAGGCAGCAACGAGAGCCACTGACATGAGTAGGGTGATTTCAATAACTAGCCCCATTGTAGATGTTAGCAACGAGAGTCAACCCAGAGTCGTTGACGTGGTTCTGGTGCACTGCAACTGCAACTGATCACTGGAAAACGGATGGCACGAACCCCATGGTGTTGGGAGAATGAGATTGAGCAAGCGATATTGAGAGTGGGGCAGGGAAAGTGTCTGAGCAGAAGAGAGGGGAAGGGGAGAAAGTGAGTGTGGGGGAGCTTACATCTGTGTACAGCTGACTTTCTAGCGAGAGAAGTCTGGTAAGAAGCCCGTGAAGCCATTTCCTGCCAGGATCCTGCACAGTACAAGAGAAGTGAGTGAAAAATCCAGGAGCATGAGCACTAAGCACAAAGGGACATACCAGCAAACACGCAAAGTGGCGACAGCACACACGGTGGCGGCAGCACACACAGTGGTTGCACTACCTACAGCGTGTAAAGAGATGAGGAGGCACTGAGAGTCCCTGGGAGGCCCCCAGAAAGGAAGTTGTTAGCTACTTGCCTGTGTTGGAAAGGAGGGGAAATAGGGGAAAGGATTGGTTGAATGCAGCTGTTACAAATGCAAGGAAACTGCCAAAGAAGATGCATGCATTGTGGGCTTTAAAGAAAGAGAACAGATGGAAAAACGATCGAGACTTCCTAAGCAAATGCATGACGGACAGCCATGCAGATCCCGATTTGGTGTTCAGCAGCCATGGCAGCAAAGGCGGAGAGCAGTGAGGGGTCTTCTCAGAAGAGCACGTACAAGGCTACATATAACATGATCTTCTCAGGGATAGCTGTCATCAGTTTCGTGCAAGTACCCAACTTTTCAGCCTCAATGAGAGAATAAGAACGAAGGGGCAGCAAGTTGGAAGATGAAAGAAATGAATCTTCTGAAACAGGTGAAATGGATGGTGTTGTAAATGTATCTTATATACAACATACATAGGCTAGAATAGGTGTAGTTCTTTATATTCTTGGGGGGTTGGGTGTACACTCCAACCACACTTTGTGGTTGGTCAAGATTGGGTTTGGTCTTGGTCCTTGGTTGGCACTTGCCAACATTTGGTCCTAAGGCCAACCAATCACAAGCTAGCAACATTGTGGGGTTCCCTACTCCACAAGGCATCTCACCCATTGGCCAACTTAATGGCCAATAGGGTTTGCTCCTTCTTCACTCCTCTCTTCCTTGCATGCTTGTAATATAGAGCCTCCTTGGCTCATTACCAAGTCATTCTTGAATCCTATCATGGTATTCAGAGCCAAATGGCTCACGCCACCTCCCTCGATCCTTAGGCCGTAATTTCCTCTCCGCTCCTCCACTCTAGCAGGCTATGTTGTACATCCGTCCACCCGCATCTTAGACCTAGCCTCCCGCGGCTCAGTTCCGCCCTCCCGCACCTCAGATCTAGCTTTCCGCGGCTCAGATCTACTCCTCTGCAGCCTCAATCCTCCCTCCCGCTGCCTCAATCCTCCCTCCCGCGGCCTCAATCCTCCCTCCCGCGGCCTCAATCCTCCCTCCCGCGGCCTCAAACCGCTCTCCGTGGCAGCAATCCTCCCTCCCGACGCCACGCCTCACTTAACGCACCGTCGTGGACGATTTGCGTGCCGTCGCGGGTGACCAGCACGCCGTCGCGGTCGACCAGCCCGCCGTCGCGGACGGTCAGCGCACGGCATGAGCACCCCGCGCACCGACGCGGACGGCCAGCGCGGAGTCGCGGCCGACCTTCGCGCTGACGCGGACGGCCGACGCAGAGCCGCGGCTGACCTGCGCGCTCTCGCGGGCGGCCGGCGCGGCGTCGCGATTGACCTGCGCGCCCTCGCGGACGCCTGCTCGCAATCACAGTGACCTCCCCCCCTCTCACCCGCGCCCTGCTCCACACTTCCGCGCCAGCCTCCCTCTCCCCTACCTCCTCCTCCTTACTCCACTCTTAATCGCACCAGCAACGGCACCTTTCACGGCACCTTTCAGCAGCATGTGATAATTTATAGCTGTGTTGTGGATTGGGTAGATTGTACACTTTTTTTTATGGTAACTTTTTTTTGAAATATAACATCTGCTTATTTATGTTACACATGAAATGTAAAGCTGGAAACGAATTGTAGACCAATCCTCAGCCAATAGGAGGTCGTTACCGCACACCAAAACTACTCTCTGATTGGTCTTTAAGACGCGCTCTCGTCCGTCGATTTTAATGTAATCCGACGGCTGCCGTCGGAGTACGACGACAGCAACGTCAGCATGTTTCGATTTCATCTAAAAAACGTCGTATGCCACGTGGCGCTGTCGTGACACTTTCGCGTAGGTTGCTCAAGAGTGACACTTTCCACCCCCCTAGTTGCTTTACTGTATACCTCACAATTGCATCGAAGTGTACAGTTTGTGTTGGGAATGTGACGGGAAAGTCACTTCGCAAGTTACTGACGCTACCACTGTTTACGAGTCAAACTTTTTTTTTTGCGCGGCGAATGCAACCCCAAAGTTACGAAAGAGCCATTTCAAAGTTTTTTTTGGCACTTCCCTTTTCCGCAGCTCGGAGCTGCGACATTCGCGAAGCGCGGCCCCGCGACAGACCCGGCGGGGAAACGAGCTTCACTAGCACTTGTGGTACTCCGCATGATTCCACTCGCCGCTAGTAGAGTGTGTGAGAGGAGAAACAGGGGTCTGCCAAGCCAGCGCTTAGAATAAGATTGACGCAAGCAAAGCTACTGCTACCATAAGAGGCACAAGTGAGGCGGAGAAACGCAGTCATACTATCCCCCTCAGTACAGTAGTGTGGCGTGAAATAGGGTGGCAGGAGAGGGGACGGGGAGGTGGAGAGGGGAGGGGAAGGGGGAGCGGAGAGGGTGTGACCACTAGCGCCGCGCCAACACGGGTTGCCTTCAGATAAGGTTAGGGTGCCTAAAGGTCGTCTGAATACGGTTCGATGAGGCTTAGTACGAGATAGGCCGGTCTTTTTATAATTTAGAGAGGTCGGGTATGGTACTCTGGAAAAAAACACTCGAGCAACCTGAAGAGCCGGCATATTTGGAATCGCGTTTGAGCTGTGTGCACACGATGCTCGTCGGTGGGGCGCCCCCCCGCGCCAAAATCGGCTTGTAAGAAATAGTCGGGTTACCAGGTGACGGCGAGAGGAGTCGAGCAGATCCCTTATCGCAGAAGCAGTCATGATCACGTCGAGTACCGCCACACCAGTACCCCTAGTCCGCCTTAGGGTGCGTCCCACAGCAGTTGCCTAGACACCTTTAGGTGTACGGAAATCGCACTCATTTTGCTTTAGATAATTTCAAGCAACAAACATAATAAGCTTGGTGTACTCGCTTTTTTTTTGCCTTGTTCGCACTCATTTTGCTTTATACTAGCTTGCATCTCAGCTTGCAAGCTCTCTCTAACTTCAGCAACAAGTTGGGCTCGGTACGTTTCCAAGTAAGCGGCCCATTCATCACGAGAAGGTACCTTACTAGTCGTCATGACGCTTTTCTCAAGAAAAAGAGGATCATAGATAGCTCGGATACCAAATGAAACAGCCACTAAGCTGTTTTTAGAGAGTACTAGTAGAAGAAGGCTTTCTTGGAAGAATTTCAGAAAGATAGTAGCTTTACTAGATCATATGATGGCTTACATTTCAGAGATACATCCTATTATACTAGGATACTAGCAATGGCGCCTCGAGCAGGTCGCTCAGGTCGCCTTTCATATTCCTAGAGCTAAGAACAGCAAGGCATAGTCATTATGATTATGTACAAGACATCTTAGCCTTGTTGTCATATCTTAGAACCAATTAGCAAAGTCTAGGAATTCACTAAAGACATAGGCAGAGATTATTTGTCTTGTTGTCGTCCATGCTGTCGTTGATAATCATGAGTAGAAGCTGTGTTGGTAGAAGCCATGGCTGTAGGAAGTTGTGCTTGCTTGTGCTGTCAAATGCTTTGCCGTGCTGTTGGAGTTCTCTGCCGTGTTGTGTCCAGCACTAGAGTGCTCTCTGTAGTTGTTCCCAAAGTTGGAAACAGAGAATTACGAGCCGCTCAATTCGAGGTTGAGTGCCAACCTCGAATTTCCCAAATGTTCTTAGGGCGTGTTCCGAAATCAGGTTCGGATCACAGTTTGCTGAGTTGGCGAAATCGCGGACGGCGAGATCGCCTTCGCCTTGTTACATTACTCCCCTCTCCAGCAAGCACCGTCCTCGGTGCTTGAGCAGATGCAAGGTAGCTCTGAAGGGCTCTCTGGGCATTGTGAAGGCTTGTCTCGGGTATCCAGAGGTTGTGAGAGGAGTCTTTCCCACGCCACTTAACAAGGAAGTAAGTGCCGCGAGGAGAAGTTTCATGGGAGAGAATTTTCTCAACTTCAAAGAGATCAGGGTTGGATGTGAACATAGGAGGCCGAGTAGGCAGAGGTAGGAGGGGGAAGTGGGCTGGAGGAATGTGGTAAGGACGTAGCAGCTGAACGTGAAAAACAGGATGGATGTTGATGTGTGGTGGAAGTTTCAAACGGTAGGTGAGAGGAGAGAGAACCTGGGTGATGGGGAAAGGGCCAATGAAACGAGGTGCAAGTTTACAAGTGAGACCTTTCTGCAGCAAGGGGAGGTTTGTGGTAGAGAGAAGGACCTGGTCACCTACGTGGAACTGAATGTCACGACGGTGTTGATCGGCATACCGGATCATTCGGAGTTGGGATTTGTGCAAGGAAGCGCGTGCTGCTGCAATGGTCTTTTCCCGAGTAGAGAGGAATTCGGCTGCTGGTTTGGTGTCGCTGCTGCGTACGAGAGAAGCCGGTGTACGAGGTTGCTGCCCTGTAGCGAGGAAGAATGGGGTTTGTCCCGTGGCAAGGTTCACCGTGTTGTTGTAGGAGAATTCGATCGATGGCAGATGCTGGTCCCAATCGTTTTGCCGTGCATTCACGCATGCGCGCAGAGCATCTTCAAGTGTTCGATTCATCCTCTCGGTCTGCCCATCGGACTGAGGA